AGTCGGTTTGAATCAAACTCCTATGAAGTTCCTTGGGTATGTTTGAGGATCGGACTGCTGCGAAATATAATTTCAGTATCCCTTCTTCTCAACTTTCCGCACTGGGTTGTTTCGGAGGTGAACTTTATTACTATTTCATCATAGCGGTAGTAAGGAATATTTTAATAAAGCTAGCCTATAAACCGCAGAACCCTCTGGGAACTGCCACCTCGCCGCTCTTTGTACGGACCAAAGTGTCAAACTCTACCTATAATTAAAATTTGGAAAAGGTGTAGCTGTATTTAGACTCATATCTTCGTTATTATTTCAATATGTATTTCATTTATTCTTAAGTGAGAGGCTCCAATAACCTTAAATAATAAATCTTTCCTCTTTTCCTATACAAGTTGGTTTCTACTTATAACGAACATCCATATGCACATTTTCATTTTTGTCTATTTAAAGTAAGATATGTGTATACTAGATTAAAATATATCATTAAAGTATATATTAAGTATAACTTTATATACATGTTTCATATCTTTATTAAAGATGTACCTCTTTTACTTTGCCGAAAACGGTAAGGATGTGAAATTATATCTTGCTTCGACCTTTCTGCATCTGAAAACATTGCGTGCACATCAGCACTGTTATTATATCTACAAAGTACCTACTAATACGGCAGGCCAGTAATGATGCACCGGTCAATCAGTACATAAACTATATTTTGATCAAATTACAAGCCTTGATTTATGGATATAGAGACGGATATAGCTGGGGTAACTAACTATTTTTAAAATGACTCGTGGTTAAGTATTTCAAGTTTATTTGTACAATAATACGCTAGTATATCTGAAAATTCCACTTTTTTAAGAAACTTTCAGAAATATATTAATGAACATATCATGAATAGAATTCCGTACTGATTTTCAGGCAGAGATATTTTTTGAAACTCAGAAACACCGTATTAGTTCAGTCGAATTAGAGTTTGAATGTGAAGGCTATGTAGAATGATAATATCAAAAAAGTAACTCGAAAGAAGTGACGCTAAGTTGGAAAATTGCAAATATGTGGCAAAATTGCTTGTTTTTACCTTTTTTTTTACTGCCCATGAAAATCTAGACGACGCACAGTGGGGCAGAATCCCAGAAAGAAGGCCAAAAGTAAAAATCTTTAGAAATCGATTTGAAATTTGCTGCTCGGGGGTTTTTGGGGTCGCTAATAACGAATTTGGAGTCAGACTTACAAAATTCAATGCGGAGGATTTAATATAGCCGTATTAGAAGTAGAAATATTTTGTAAATAGGGATTTTCCGAGTCGTATATTAAGAATTAAAAGATTATGAAATAAAAAATGGCTATAATAAGGTAATCATAAGAAATAAACCAAATAAAAAATTGTTCATTAAAAATTGTTTATTTACAATAATTATTTCAAAAGAAATATAATTTCATTATTCTTTTTCTTAGGACAATTTATTAATTACAATAATGTCACATTTATCAAGTATGAAGAAGATGTAAAAATGACAATTGACATATTAAACTATTCATGTATTCCTTAAATAAGTATCGGGAATAATTTATTTGAATCCCTTGACAAAGTTGTAATATAAAATTCTAGTTTTTTCATAAAAAAAGAATCATCATCAGATGAATAATCTTTATTTATAGCATCCGTCGAATCTTCTGAAGTTGAAAGAATTTCTTCTTTATCTGCAATCTTCCCATGTCTTACATCGTCCAGAGAAGGCGAAATTCATTTTACTCTACATTTTACAAAAACCTATACAAAAAGTTGTTAGGCACTTAAAGGCAGCTGATTTTTTTTTTTAGTTTACAGATAATAGTTTTGTCTTTCTTGTCCAATAAGTTAAATGACAGAATTCTGCAGAATTATTAAACTTTCTTCTTCAAAACTAAATTACTTATTCATTTAGTAAAATTCAAGTAAGTTTGGTAGCCAATTTCTATTTTTTAACCTACACAATCATAATCTACATACATTTATGAGTTGATTCCATTTTGATAAGAGATAAATCGGTGAACTCTACGAAATTTTATAACCACTTAAACAAAACTATTACTTCTGTTCCTACGCGCGAGTCAGGTATTGCTCGAGCAGCGGTCGCCTTTGTGGTGATTTAAGAAGAAGGTATAGGGGATCTGATCCTAATAGTAATGGATTCTGTTGTTCCAGGTATTTGTTAATTAATTTCATTCGTTTTTTTTTGCAACTAATTTTTCAGTTACTAAATATTAATTTTAAAATTTAATATCGTAAATATAGATTCCAATTAATCTAAAGAAACGTATCGAAAAAAGAAAAATTTCAAAAACAAATACCTTTTCAAACAATTTCACTGTCAATCGAATCAGCCGTTGGCACACATGTTGGTCATTGGATTTGACCGTCTTTTCTATAAATTTTATCAACATCCATCGCTGTTTGCAATGCAATGTTTCCAATTTTCGAAAACTGATTTTTCCTAATTCGACCTTTATTTTTTAGTTAACAATTGGTAAAATATGACTTTAGTAGATACCTTAAATTATAGGTAATGCTTACAACATATAATAACTATTTTTCCAATAAGTCGGCTAGATTTTTATGGGCAGCTAAAAAAAATGGAAAAACACGTAACTTAGCGGCACTTCTTGCGAGTTAGTTTTTTGATATTATCATTCTGCATACCCTTCCCCATCATATAGTGCAATGAAATGTCTACTAACAATTTTGTTCAAGTTTTCCGCAATTATGATCTAATTCGACTGGACTAATGTACATCTTTTGATATATGACACGTTTATGATTTTTCATTTGTAATATTTGTATATATTTATATTTTTATTTTTAGATTATGTACTAAATTTTATATGGAGTTATAAACAGAATTTGTTTCATTCAGTAAATGTTTATTAATTATAGTTAAAAAGAAGTAGAATTACAATGTTACACGTCATGTAAAATGATCACGAAGTTTAGGTAATTACTTGTTAAAATTACTATTTACCATGTACAAAGTTAGGATTAAAATAATTACTAGTTCGGTGAAGTGGTGGCAGATACCTGATGTATACAGGTAATTTCGTCTAGTTCTTCAAAGATTTGTCTATCGCAAATTATTAGTTTTTATTTCCTAAGAAGTGAATCTTAAAATTACTAAATAATTTATGTTTTTTTTTATTAGAATATAATTTATATATTTATTTATTATATTATATATTTTTGTATATATTTTCGAAAATAATAAAGAACAGTTTATTATTTAGATGATATTGTTATATCTAATACTCTTTTACAGGAAGAGTACAAATCAATTATTATGCACTGTCTATTTATTTTACTATCAATAATAAAAAGGATACAGTGTCAAAGTGAAAAATAAAAAATGGTTTTTCCTTAATCATTTCTAAAGTTTTAGTCAAACATGTTTAAAATTTTCTAGTGAGAGATTTTTTTCAGGGAGCGAAAAATAATATAATAATCATTTTTGACTGTCGCATGCGTGACACTGCAGGCAATATTATGGATTAAATATGTATTAACGTTTTTGTTTTTTAGTAACAAAATTGGGCTTTTTTAAACAAAAAAGGCATACTTATTGAAAATTGCTAAAGTCAACCGTTGGAGAGATATTCTTGATTTTGTAACCCTGACCAAGTATGTAAATCGAGATTTCAGCATAATTTTTGTTTAAATATATGGGAAGGAATTGTAGGAGATTATCTTATTGGTCCGATTATTATTCCTCGGCGTCTCGATGCAGCGGAATATCTGAGATTTTTAAATAAACAACTCCCAATGTTACTTGAAGAGGTGCTACTAGCTGTCCGTGAAAACATGTGGTACGCGCACGACGGAGCTCCTGCCCATAGTACATTAGCTGTTTGGCAACGGTTAAATTAAAATTTTTCTGGGAGATGGATAGGTCAAGGGAATGATGCCCCCGTCAAATGTCCTGCGCGATCACCGGACTTTACACCCTTGGATTATTTTATAATTTAATTTTAATCGTAGAATTAATTATGTTTACAGGAAAATGGAAACTACTTCGAAAACATCCTATAAGATATCTTTTATTTTTTAATTGTTAGTTAATTGTTCCCTTATTGTTAGATTAGGTATTTATTGTTTTATGTGGCTCTTGGATTTTCTAATTTTTGTTCTTTTATTCAAATAGTTGCTATAAAACTGACAATAAATATGGCGACACCCAAAAATGATTATTATATTGTTTTATTATTTTTCCCTCCCTGAAAAGGGAGGTTCAATCAACTTATTTTCAGCTAAGGAACCTCTGGTATCATTTGAGCCCCTCATTTAAATACACTCTGTATATAGATAAATTTTACTATGAACCCCCAAATTAATTTTCTAATAATAAAATTTGGATCATTCGGCAGCAGGCATTCTGCATAGGATATATAATTTAACAACTACTGGAACCAATAGATCCTTGAGGTTAAAATTACAAGATAGTATTGGAAGAAATTCCATTCTTTCGTGACGCATTGAAGGTACTTAAAACTGCAACAAAACACATGTACTTCACTTTTTTCTTTCACACTTTCCTCAACTTTTGAATTAACAATGAAATTCTTGACTATTTACAAAAAATTTAAGAATTAATTTGAATGCTTAATGTATAATAAAAGTTTTAACGTCGTTTAATGAAAAATTCTTAGGTCTGCAGTAAATGAATAAACTGAAGTATTTACCAACATTTTGCGTTTATAGAAACTTCATCGGTATATTCAATTTATATATTTACTTCAACTTTAATTAACAGTCAATATTTTCCAATTAAATGATTAATATTTTTCCAATTAACTTTTTTCGGTCAAAAATAATTATGTCAGCTACTCTACGTAAAAGCACGCATGTTAAAGGTTTCCAAGACTGTTAATAATTAACATGTGAATAAAAACCAATAGTCCATCCTAACTGATGATTACCCCCACTTATGAAATGTTATAGCAAGGATCCTTGGTGTAATTTCTCAGTGACTTCCATATTTTACGGCAGAAAATAGTTGTATGAGTCCTGTCAAGCGCTCATCTATTTTATCTTTTATTTTTCCAAAAGCGTATTTGGTTAGAAACGTTGTAGATACGATTAGACGGTTTTATAACTTAATGGTTCAGTCAGCAACCAAAATTAAAATGAAGTTACCGTTGAAATTAGGGATCGGTTCGTCCGTTCTATTTGTTTTCATAGTTTTGGTGGGATTTGTGGTATTTCCGAAGATGATAACCTCTAAAATTAAATCGGTAAGTTGTAGCAATTATTTCATAAAGTTAAAGTGATTGAAAGGGATATTAATAATAATAATAATAATNAATAATAATAATAATAATAATAATAATAATAATAAATCATTAATAAACTTTAAAATATTAAAATAAAATTAAAAATAAAAATAATAAAAATAATAATAGTTATAATAATAAAATTGTCGGAAACGTTGCATCAGTGGTAAATTTATATTAATGATATTTAGAAAAATTAAGAGTGAACATTTAAATTACTCAACTGTAAAAGTGTATAAAAAATTATTGCCTAGGTTTATTTAAACTGAATTGTTTGAAACACAAAATTGAAAAATAAATATTTGTGGAATAAACGTGGTTTATTAACATAGTAAGTAAGTAAATAATATCAGAATTAGTTTACTTGATATTAAATAGTTGCAACTCGGTGACTACGATATTTATAATGATAGCAAATATATATATATAAGTTATGAATAAAAGAGAAATCATTAAATCGCAAAGTAATATTTAATGTATAACATAACAGTGAGACCGATTATAAGAATTTAAATGAATATTTTTATAAAGGGTGTTTTGGAAAATTATAAATTCAAGAGCTGTCACAACAAAAATTAGATCTTTTGTGGATCTATCTTTTATATTTGAAACCCAGGGCGTCAATGACTACTTTTTTAAACCAAGCATTAGCCATACTTTTTTCAAAGATAATGGATTGATGAAATTTTGAACAGATAAGTTTTTACTAAATATGTTAGTTATTTTACCATTCGCTAGAGGTCGTTAGTTACTATTCTTCCATTTGTCGTTTAATGACATACTTTTTGTAAAATTTCATTTTATGTAAATAGGTACTTTGTAGAAATAGCTGTCAACGCACAGTTTTCAAGAAAAATACAAGTGACTGTCCCAAATTCAACCTATTTTCTGTTTTTTAATATAAAGGGGCTCAAATGGGTCATATTACATGGATAGTTTTCTCAAATGAAAATAAATCGATTTAGAGTGAGTCAGTACAATTTTGTTGCCTTAAAAAGTTATTACACTTCAAAACATTTAATACTTAGTAATATAATTTTATAAAAAAGCAAAATTGTAATAAGATAAGTTAATCTAAATACCCTGTATATTTAGCAGTAGAAGCTCCTTTATTTCAGCTGCAGTCAGTTGCGTTTTACTCAAAAACTAAGCATTATAATATATGACATACAGTGTAAAAAAATCTAACCTCAGAAAATTGTGATATAAAATGTCACCAGGTAAGGTTGTAGATACCGTAAAAAAAAACAAAAAAATCAAAAAATCGTCTCTAAAAATTTAACTGTATTTTGTTCCAGTACATTTTTTTTTTGGAAAAACTTGTATCTTAAATATAAAGGGACATGTTCCGATGATAAAGAGAGAAATATTTTTATTTTTGCTCTGTCAGCCCTTGAATTTATATGACCTTTTCGCAAAACATCCTGTATATAGAGCGTGATTTTTTTTAGGAATTTTAGGGAAATCACTTTAGCCTAAATTAGCATGACTTCACCCCATACCTCAAAATTTATCAATATTTTTTTATACAGACTTAAAATTATAACTTCTTAAAGTTGTTGTTTTAATTTAAAAATTTAGGAAACATTGGACATGCCAGAAAATAAAACCTTAGCCAATTACCGAGACTAATGATTACAGTAATACAATACAATAATACAACAAATAATAGAGTCTGCTTATAGGCCTAAAATTATAAAAAATAATGTATATGCTGGTTTTACTATTTATTAGTTATAAACAGTAGAATTAATAATTGGCCAATTTTTCACCTTCAGACATTTTCAAAATCTTTCAGATTTAGAAATTGAGCCGAAAACTAAGTTTATATAAATATTTTGTTAAAAATTATTCATTATGAACTAATAAAACTTCACACAGGGTGATTCAGAAAAAAATTTTTGATGTAGAGGGGACTTACAAATACAATTTTGAAAAAAAAATCAAAATGAGCAGTTCGAAAATGATTTAAACGGTAAACCTGGCTTTGCGCAAGGCAAAGCATGCAATCGGCGACCGGCACGGCGAAAAAGTACAATAAAAAACGAACGAACAAAACATTTAAAGAATTTCTTTTCCACGGAATAATAATAAAATTTTATAATACCTACTTTATATAAGCAAATTTAACTGCTTTGGCCCCTATTGTTATTATTAATTAATAAAATTAATTCGTGATTAATAAAATAATTTGAAATATCTGATGTTACAACAACTGATCAAAATTTTCTCTACAGTCGTGTAAACACATTTGGGGCCGTCTTACCCAGTTTCTACGAACTAACACTAATGTTACCTTACTTCGCTATAACACAAATGTTGTCTTGCCTCACCATAAATTAAAAGGATATCCATCAGTTCCGAGTTGCTATACACGTAAGCAATTTTTGATCTTTGAACACTAATATAAACACTATCGGAATCGCTTGGGGACACGTGACGCGTGGAAAGAGAGAGAGAGAGAGAGCATCGTGTACAGCGCACAACGCAAATGACGCTATCTGCGATAATTTTTAAGATGCAAGCGCACCAAGCGGCGAAAGCAGTAATTTCCGAGACAAGGTAATTTTGACATTGCCGTTCGTGTTTACACATTCATTTGAACAACATTTGTCTTATTTGCCATTATTATTAGTAATTTTGTTATCAAACTGCGGTTATTTGACGTTTGTGTTATTTTATGGGTTTCAAATATTTCATAAATAAATTTTAAGGCAAGTATTTGTCTACTTTATTTGTCTCTAGCATTAAAATTTAATGTACATTTTATTAGGTTATATTATAACTATGAACTTATCCGTTGTGGAATACATTTCCTATTTACATATATGCCAACGAAAACTCTCGTTGTATATCAGAAGGAGAGGCAGTTTTTAACGTTGATCATGTGGTACTATATGGGAAAATTGGGCAAAGTTAATTTAAATTTAGAAATTTATATTGAGTCTGCAAACTAGTGCCTTTACTTACTAACAACCCTCATGAAATTCAGGGAGTATTATCGGCAATAATATTTTGATGAAAACTTAATTCTGGATTTTTCTTGGACCATGAAGAGCAACCTTGAACTGAACAATAATAGTTTGACAGTTTCTTCTTTCTATCCATAATTGCTGAAGTTTTCATCACACTATTTTCTTAAAATAACAGTGTTCAAAAAACGAACACTAAACACAGTTTTAAATAAAATACAAAACGAAATGTCACACAGAAGAAATGTTTACCTTGTTTCGCTAGTATCACTTGTCACCGCCAGAAGGCGAGCTCTTAACTGCATTCGTGAATAGATTACAGTAGCTCAGATATGTAAGGGTTGTGAATAATATAACTTCAATAATTTTTTTCTCGGAAATAAGGATTTTACAAACAATTTTTTATGATATTAACTCCATTTTTCATGGCGCATCTGTTCCCAAATCTTTTTGGATAAGCTGTGAATCACCGTGTATATAGGAATTATAGGTGACACTGGTTAAGGGTAGATACTCAGATCTTCAATTCTCAAAGTGGTTTTCCCAAAAAATCGCTTTAAAAAATTCAGTGGATCACTGATTGCCAAGTGGATTATCTTAATTAGTTAGCAACTACATCTAGAAGGCCACTATGTATAAAATTTAGTCGAGTTGCATGTCAAAAAAAAATTTAGAGGTTTGTTTTAGTTCTTAGTGGGCCACACTGTTTAAATCCAAATTTTCCAAATTCTTGTCATTATTGTTATTGTAATTGTTTAGTAGTAGTCTATATCACATGAGTACGATAATTGTCACTGCATCACAAAATGTGTCACATCGTAGTTGTTAATAGTTATAAATATGAGTAAACTGTCTGTACAAATGCTTGGTCTAATTTTAACTCCTATTTTTGTTTTATTTTCTAACACAAATGCTGAAGCTTTTAAAAAACATATATTTTAGTATTAGCATTTTTTATTCTCTTTTAAAGGTATTAAGGTAATTTAAATAAATTTAGTTTTTCTTTATTAAAATTAATTATCAAATGAAGTTAACTGCCATATTCTGTATAGGGCACTTAGAAAAAGTCATGGGTCAAAATTTGGATCACAGGGTGATCTTTAAATTTTCACTGAAACCTATTTTGATTTTATTTTTTAAATCATTTATGGGAATTAATTTATTTGTAGTAGTAGTAGTATCATATACCTCTAAAGGAAAACAGACTCTTGTATTTTTTTCTAAAATTTCAGGACTGTATTGGGAAAATTCTCATTTTTTTATAGCAACACAAAAAAACTTACCCTGTATATTTTTCTACTATGTATCATACTGGTACAAGAACAAGTACAACTACAAGAACCATTGAGAAAAAACATGACATTTGACAATAATAATATTATCGTAACTTTAATCGACATTTCAATATCATTTTAAAAAAGAAAACCATTGAAGCCAATATTATCATACTCTATTTCAGTAATAATGGACTAATATACAAGGACTGATATACAAGGACTTCCGATTTTAGTTTTACAGTTTTGAAACTTGAAAAATTTTACTTAAGTCTTGAAATGCGAAAATTAAAAAGAGAGCGCAGCTGCTGTAGAATGAGATGGAAACGTAGTCAACAGGTAAACGGAACGATCAATACTTGTTTCACTGCTTCATTTTCTTTCAACGTGATGTAGAAGAATTATAGGTTGAAATTTCTGTGTGGCCACATTCAAAATTTAATATTACCAATATGGCCCTAGAATTTTCGAATTTTGATTTAAAAAGCCTATTAGCCTTCGACAGTGTATTGTATAACAAAAAAAAATCAATTCACATAAATAATTCGATAATCACAAATTTTAACCTAAGTGGTTATTACGTACTTGCGTAAGTTGTCCCTTTCTACTCTTACAGTATGTACAGTACGTCACGAAACACTGTGTATAAATTGAAATTTTCAAAAAGGAACTACTTTTAAATAATATTTGAAAAATTAAGAACTTTAATTTTGAA